TATATAAAGATCTTTGATGGCAAGTGGCTCAAAAACCCCAAAGATGAAAGCAAGTCATGCTTTCTCTTTTATATGTGTTTTAATATAACATGTTTAATATAACATGTTAATATAACAGTGCCTTAGTAGGAACACTTTGTAGACACATATGCAGTACCCAGATCTGCATCAAAAACATGTGCCTGGATTTTGCAACCCCCTTGGGTCAGTTTGCCATCATACTGTAATGGGATTGTTAATTATGCAAGTGCAGAGGACATGCTCAGCCCTGTATGGGACACCAAACTTGCAGTCAGAAAAGGCAAATGTATGGACTTCAATRGAGGGAATGTGCTGAACCCCTCGAGGGCACAACAAGGTGATCTGTGAAGAGGACACACTTCCTAGCTGACCACTGGCTGAGAGATGTTGCTCTCTATGACTAAGCAGCTTAGCTAGGATTTTACACTGCTGAAATACTGCTCAATTTCTATGGAACCTGCTTATAAGCACTCAAAAATCCTGTTATGGCAACGATTTTCCCAGGCACTCTATCAGCAAGATCACAGTTCCCTCCCTTCTCTCCACAGACAGACAGTGTCTGTCCATCCATCCCACCTCACCACAACACTTTTTCAAAGTATTTCTGGATTTACACCTTCCCTGCAGCTACAGCAAAGGAAAGATGAGCAAAGAAAACCCCATATGAGCCAGTGGAGTTGTGACAGTACTTTAGTCAAAAGTAATGTTGGCATTTGCAACAAGTCCTGTTGCAGTAAGGGCACAGAGAATGTCCTGCTCATGGTGGTGGGGACCTCGACCACTGCTGATTGCACTGGCCATCCGCACATGCAGGTGGTGGTGTGGGTGGCTGTGCAGAGGGGACAATGTGATGGGCTGGACTTTGCTGTGTGTGCTCACCAACCTGTCCCTACCACTAAGGCGGATGTGCCAGGGACTCCAAGGCCATGGGAGAGAAAGGCATTTCAAAGGACAACAGAGCTCATGTTGGTGACATCTCTAAACGAGCTGGGCCAGGGGGGTGGTGTGACCCAGCACTGACATTTGCCACTTGATTAGTGATTCCACTCTTCCGCTCAAATATGCAAAATATTTCATGTTCCAAACAGAGGATTTCTACTAAAACCCTCCATAAACTGACTTCACAAACTGTTACTGTAATCCTCCCAGACTGCAAGAGCTGAAGCTGTGAGGAAAGAGACAGCAACGTTACTTTTTATGGGTAAAAAGAAGAGATTCTTTTATTTCTAGATGTCTCACAGCCCTTTAAAATGTAAGGGAAGATGCTGTGACAGCAGATTTTATAAGCCTTAGCTTAAAAATCACATCAAAATTKTGTTTTATCGGAGATCAAAAGAATATGCTGTTTTATCATCATGATGATGCTAAAGATCTCTTATCTACTCAGATAATAACAATGCAAATCAGGATGCAACAGAGCCCAGAAAAAAATTATCATTCTGTTCTTAGGTTATATYTGTGGCTTGTTAGCTTCTAAACTATCAACTATATGAAGGAAGAGAGCCAATATGACATTTGTGTTCTGGGTTATAGTTTAATAAAAATGATTACAAACAACTAATTAACTTGAGATGATTTTGAGGTTTTGCCTCATAAGACTCAAAATTATTTTGTTAATATTATTCTAAGAGCTCTACTATGAAACTAAAATCTTAATTGAAGTGTTTATTTCTCATGAAAATTAAAATGAAAATGGAAATGAGAGTGAAAAAATAAGCCATCTAGTTTACACATAATTTATTGCAGATTCTTAACATTACTGAAGCAAGAATTTCACTACTAATAAATGTTTTGGTGAACCTCATCTAACTGGATTTCAGCAAAAAAAAAAWGAGATGGTGCCATACAAGGAATTTGAAGGAGGAAGCATCAGGGTAGAAGGAGTTTATGATCAAGTCCTTCAAGCATCATTCTTAGTCTTAACCAAAAACACTTGCCAGTGTCATCTGCACAAAAGGGAGCACATTAAGAACACTTGCTGATGACACAGGGCTGGGAGGCATCTTGGCTTCCCGGAATATCTTACGGAAGAGTGGAAGGTACCAACTGCTGAAGAGATCTCCTGAAGATATTTCTTTATACAAACCACTTAAAGGGGGAGTTTGTTTCCTGAATGGGTTCTTGCAGAGAGGAGAGCCAGGAGCTGTTTTTATGGTGAAGAGGGTCTGAGTTTCTGATGTGGGTGCCTGCCCCAACCCTCTGCTATCTCTGCAATACCTACAATGCTGGGTCCAGCTAAGACACTTAAACTCATTTGGTATAGCCTTTATTTCAGGGAAAGTACATTTCAAAGCTATCCGCACACTGGACACATTCCCACCGGCCTGCACCCTTGTTTTTCCCCCACCTACTCGTTCTGGGAAAGTCTTCCCTGCCCTTTCACTGCCCGGAGCGCTCCCTCCGAAGCGCTGGCTGAACAAGTGCTCCCACGCCGCTGGTGACATTTCAGCTGGGCAGCAGGGCCCTTTGCACGCCCCACACACAATAGCAGAATTCGTTGGGTTTAGGATTATGCCCAGCATGACATTTTCCTCCACCCCACGCCTTCTTTGCTGACTGCAGGATTTCCAACATCATTCAGGGCAGAAAGCCCCCATCATTCCACCTCCCTAATAGGAATATGAATCTGCTAGATTTTTGTAACATCTTTCAATAGAGATGTCAGCAACCAGTGTTTAYGGAAAAAAAAAGGCAGCTGGACTTGCATGACCATCCTCAGGACTGAGACCTCATGCCTGGAAAGTATAGCAAAGAGGAAAAGTGTGGTACTCACTTGCAGAAGYCATCGCAAAGGCAGCCCGTGGGCCCCACTCCAAAGGAATAAGATTGCGGTTAAGTCAGAAGTTTTGTTGAAACATCCTGATTTCAAACATGACAGAAAATCTTCTTTCATCCAGGGGGAAATTTGGAGTCAAAACTGGAGCGAGTGCCWCCTGCCTGATGATCAGAACAACCAGTCGCTATTTCCCTGTATTGGAATTGGGCAGGCTTGGCAGGACACACTGTCTTCCCACCAAATCAGCATGAATAATGATTTCCAAAACTGAAATGAATGAAAATGAGCAAATGTCATTTAACACATATCAGATTTGTTCTCTATTCAAATGGAATACTTTATATCATGCCTATTTGCTTCATGAAGCAATAAAAGCATCTAATTCTTGTATATCTCTATGGACCTGTAGTCACCTATTAAATAGAATTTATTGCCCCAAAATCAATCCCATCCACAAAATGTTTGTAGAAGAATACTGACAGTGTCCCACTGAGCCAAAATCACTTGATTATTGTTAGAGATCAAGATAAAGAACAGCATGATCCTCCTTCATCTTCCAACCAGTTGCCATTTAGTTCAACAGCAAGTTATGAGGATACACTAAGCCTCGTGGATAATTTTATCTTAGAAATAAGCACTGCTGATGGTTGTTTGGGGCATGTTTTTTCTATTCTAATTCAGTCACTTACCAAAATGAGCCCACATTGAGAGCAGACACAAACGACATGCAACCTAAGAGTCACCATGTGAGACAGAACATCATCTTCCAGATAAAATGGGCAATTTAGATAGAAAAGATCAGGAATTCTCCCCTCACACCTATAGTTTTCATGGGTGGCAATGCCAAGTCACAATCTAAACTTTCTGCATGCGGGTGCTTAAAACAGGCTTCAGATTTTGCGTCTAAGCCCTTATTTTAAGAGGCTTAATCTACTTCAGTTCATAACTTGTTCTTTTGTTCCTAGRGGAGCACAGAATGGAAGGACACATTAGCTTTTGCAATCACATTGCCCATATGCATATCCATATACATGCACATATACACAGCAACTAATCGCTACTTAAAACCTTCCTTTTGTGACACATCACATGGCTCTTCTTTGCTGTGCTGCTCCGTCCACCCTTCCTTTTCGCTCTAGGAAAGCAGAGAAGTTTTTACCCACCCATCATCCTTCATCCGTTCTTTGAGAGCTCCACTTCTCGAGGCCTCTGTGTGCTGCGCTGGCATCCCACCAAAACCGGCTAACAAACRGCAGATTAAGTGGCAACACGGAAAAGAATTTCAAGCATGTATTATACTTGCCTGGAGTTCAGCGGGCAACTTCAAGAGGAGAGCTGCCCTCTAAGCAGGCAGGCCTGGGAATTCRGAATTGCAAAGTAATTACAGATGCAAGGAAAATACCTTTCCTCTGAGAAAGAGACTAACTGATATTCTGCAACCCTCAGTGAACTGTGTGCTCTGGAAGAGCTCACCATGTCCTATGCTTTCTTGATACCACCGCTCCCATTTCCAGCACTGTCCTCTGTAGTTGTATCAGATTAACTAGGATTTATTTTATGTTAGCCTTTAAAGATGCAGTAACAGAAGATTATTATCCATTTACAAGCAAAATAGCCTCTCTATATCCACCCTCTGTTGTACAAGAGTAACGAGGCACTTCATTACATTCTGCAGGTTATCAGGAGCTGTGATCAGTTGGGCAACAACATTTCCAGCCTATAAAGAACGTATGTCCTATATGAATTGAATGAGGACACAAGAAAGGAAGGGAAATAAATAGGGAAAGAACATTGAGAATGTTGATAGAACTGTGCAGTGTTCGAATATTTACAAACAAGTAATCATGAAATGCAATTGAAAGCACTGCCCAAGTACAGTACAAATACAAGGATGTCTGCATTAGAATTCCATAACTTTTCTTTATTCACTGTGATACATTCAAACAAAAGTGCTCCAGATAACAGCCATAAGAGTAAAGGAAATCTAAATAAAAAGGCAGAAGACCATCAAATACATACGGTGATTATTCATATTTCAAAGCATTAGTAATTGCTTGTATTCGAGTGCACCAAAAATCCACATGGAAACCCACATGGAAATACGATGGAAATAAGGGGCCATGTTTTTGTATGCTGCACCTATAGAAATAATAATCGTAGGCAGCTCTAGCAAGAATGGCCTTCAGAAATAGAGTCGAAGCCATCTCAAAGATAAAGCACCATCAGGCATATGTTTGCAAATGCCACAGTAATTAGTAGAGTGAAAGAAAGGCTTAACTGAACTAACGTTTCCCTCATCTAGTGCAGGGCAACTCAGCCTAACCTCATTCCTTCCCAGCTCTGTCATTTCACACAAGGGGCTTGTGTTGGCCCCAAAACACCAGTGCCAAGTGCAATGTGGTGAGTTCAGGAGGCAGGGAGAGATGGAGGGAAGAGAAAGTGGAGCCAGTCTATACCCCTATCAAAAAAGTGCTGTTATGGCAGTATGTACTCAACCCYGTTACTGCAATACAGTGGCACCCTCCATCCAAGAAACACTGTGCAGATCACACTGACTTCCCAATGCTGTTTGCTGAACTACAGATACTTGGCCAGACTGATTTTTTTTTTTTTTTTTGCTTGTTTTTGTTTTGCTGAGGATCTTGTCTTTAAACTATAATTCTGCTGCAGCAAAATAAATGTCACTCATGTTGATAAGGGACAGCAGGACATCATTCCATCGCTAACTGGGATTACATCCTATAATCTGGCCCTATTCCAGCTGCAGAATTACTGAACTCTGTGTATGACAAGAACCATCGGTGACTCAAAAATCTGATGGGGGTGAGGGCACCCTGCCYCAAAAAAACCCACACATACGAAAAAACAGAGGTGAAGATTCTGTAAAAAAATCACTTTGAAAGAGACATCATGTAGAGACATTAATAAATCTAGGATTACTCAATGAATACATTACTTGACCATGTATTTGTGGGTAGGACAGCATAGATCTTTAGAAAAATAGGAGGAATCTTTGTCCTTCTCTCCTCTTTACCTGCTTTGCAACCAGCAGCTTAGACAGCCAGCAAGACCAGACAGGTCTCCCCTCCAAAGAGCCTCAAATGCTGCCAAGAGACCTTCCTTAAAAGACCACAGGTCACAACAGGAGACGAGCCTCTCTCCACACGTGATTTCCCTAACAGTGTATTAATAGGGATCCTGCTAGGTGCAAGGCTGTGCCCCAGCTGCTGGAAAGGATTTAAGTCACTGTATAATTTGTGTTTACCAGAGCAGATTGCAGTGGCACTGTTCATAGGACCAACATCATCTTCACAGTTAAGTCCTTTCAAGTTCAAGGTCTGTTTGCTCAAAAAGCATTTTTCTTAACTATGTTACTAATAAAGTCTCAAATCACACAGGCTGAGGGAAGTTTATAAATCTTTATGTAGTTATTTACCCTTCACACTGTCTGTGTGGCATTTAATCTCCCACAGTGCCTGCCTTGCCCTTTTCACACTCCCTTTCTCATGCAGGAACACAAAGCTGTAATGTGTGGGTTGCAAACACCATTAAACGCCMCTCTGCAGCCCCCAACAGCATAGAAATATTTTCTTTTAAAAGTTCAGATCAAAGCATTTCTACTAATCCTAGGATTTATTAAAACAAACATTGTAGGCATGAGATAGTCAACAGCGTCCCTTTTGTAAGATTCTTTGGAGACGGCCCCGATTTTATCCTGTTTACTGACCCACCCCTAATTGATCTTCAGTTGCCCAACTGCAAAGCCAGCCAGTCCACCTGTCCCTTCCCCACCCAAGAAACCTTCCTCTCTCTCCAAACAGTTTCTAGCTGTRACGTCTGCACCACACAACCACCTTCCTGAGAACAAGGTGGCTTGCAAAGCTGCAGACCACATCCTGGTGTTGCACAAAGAATCACATCTCACACGTTTGCAGCAGAAGTCTAGCCTTTCCTCAGAGGAGTAATTAAAACCAGTCATTAAGTGCTTTCAAGGAATTTCATTGTCTCTATCCCTCCCTGCAGTCAAGGTAGTTGCCTTTGATCCAGTAACAGATCTGTGCATATTTGAGGGGGGTGATGCGAACAGCTACATTGAAATCCTGTGGCGTGCCATTCATGTCCACCCACTGATGGCCAGAAAATATTCCAATAATTTTACGCTCCCACTTGTGATTCTGCCGCTTCCACATCCTCACATACACGCCAGAGCCACTCGCACCTGGCTGCGCATCACACTGCTGGTACAGCAGGTCATACGTTTCGTCCTTGACGTCACAGAAACGGTAAACCAGGTTTCCTGGCCGGTCGTTGTCGTAGCCAGAGAAGTGAATCCTCCCTCCAGGCAAGTGCCGTGCTGGTGGGCTCACTCCTATCTTCATAAACTTTCTTTTATGAGGCTTCTTGAGCTCCAGCAGGGCATAGTCATAATCCATGCCAATGTCATTGGCATTTCCTTTGATCCATCCTTTGGGAACATGTGTTCGTTTCACTCTGATCCACTGGAATTTCATTTTCTCAGGCATTGCGGAGCTGCTAACATTGGCCCCTTTGCTGCCATCTTTCAGCTTGGGCCTCAGGAACCCCACCCGCAGTTTCTGAGCTCCTTTGACATAACTCTTGCCATCGTGGATACAATGAGCAGCAGTAAGAACGTGCTTTTCAGCCACTAGTGTCCCTGTGCAACCTGTAGACAGCTTCACTGATGTGGAGAATGGGTAATTCAACAAGAAGTCCTTCCCGAAAATGCTAAACCTGCTGTCATACCCATAGATCTGCCTCTTAGTTCGAGATTTGCCTCGAGACTCCTCACCACCGTTGCTCAGAATATAAATGCCCACTTCGGTTTCAGTGAGGCTACCATTAGCATACAAGGTTTCATAGGACAGATAGTCCTTCACTTCTTCATAGGTGGGCAATGGGGAACTTTTGTGGCACGCTGGGCCACAAGGAGATACCACTTCCAATTTGGTCTCTGCATCAAACCGTGGCTTGTCCAAATTAAGGGTAGACTGTGGCAGGATAACTGGGACTCGGTAAGATGGCCAAGTTGGCTTCCAGTGGGAACTGGAGGGCATCACATCTTTAGCAGCACACAGAAGGAGGATTAACGTCGACAAGCCTGCCATTCTGAATGCCAGCCTGTGGAAAGCAAAAGAAAGTTCAGTTATTCATTCAAATACATCCAAGATTAGGCTGCTAGGTGATAGTTTGCTAACCAAGCATAATTTTTAGTGTTGCTTTTAAGTTTCTTCCTCCTAAAATCAGAGACCACAAAGTTTGTTGCCATGGAAGGAGAAAAATCTGTAGAATGCACCATAATCACATTAAAAAAAAAATGGCCCTTGGAGATGTGTATGTTATCAATCTGTTAGTAGGTTTCATCAAGGGGTTGCTTTCTTATTTTTAGAAGCCTTTATGAACTTAAGTTGTATATTCAAGAGATCACAGGTTATATGGCACACTGCATCACAAAAACTGGTCCTACAAGTCCCATAATAAGTGTTAAGTAATTTAAATGGACCCAGATATTGTAAATTCCTCAAACTCCTCATTATTAAACTAATGCCTTAATCTGCATCTTGAAACAAGTGTCGCAAATTGAGACTTGAAAGACAGGATGTTTAACCCTCAGTGTGTTAAACTGGGAATATAATGGGAACATAATGGGAAGTTAGAACAAATTTGCKTTACAACTTATACAGAAAATACTATGTGTGTAAATTCCTGCATCAAGAAGCCGTAACTCCTGCACAGGACTAATGTCTAATGTCGAAATTAATTTTAGCTTGATTACAGCATTCTCTGGAAGATCGCACTAACTCTCTGACTCCATTGAGGAAGATCTTCAAAAAAGACCCTTACATCACTTTACCCTGTTTGCTGTCTTAGCCAAAGACACCAGGCTGATGACAGGAACAGATAGGTGGAAAAAAGAAGGTAACCTAAACATGAAAAGGTTTCTAGAACATTACTGCATGGGAAACTTGCTTCCCCTTGCAGCTCACACCAGGGAAAGTTTTCTGTTTGATGTAGCGTTTGCTCTCCCCTAGGCTTAGGGTGGGGGGAAAGAGTGATACAATTACACAGGAGCAGCTAATGAAGCAAGTTTACACTTCTTGAGGGAATTTTCAGTTAATATACTGATTTATTCCTTCATAAACTCAATTAATTAGAAATGCAAACCAACCCCCCCCCCGAGCATGAGGAGGCAAATGGGACTGCAAATGTGTTTATGAACCGCAGGCAGAGTGCCTCAGTCTGCAGAGAACAGCGTGCACTCGTGTTGTGTCAAGAAAATGTGTAACTTTAGTTTATTTGAAAATTAGCCATACAGCTGAATCGCTGCGGGAGGCATTGTGCTCTGGGCAAGAAGGCAGGCAGGATCTCCCTCATACAAAGATTATTCAAACAAAACTTCACAATTATGTTGAGCTTACGCATATTTAAACCCTGCTGAGGTTACATTGATCCCAACTGCAGGATCATTCCTGAAATACTTCAGACAAGGAAACCAAAGCAAATCACGCAGGAGCCGACCACAGCTATCTAAGAATGAAAAGAAAAATCCGTTTTGCAGGAATGTTTCATCCCTAAGCTGCACTGAAAAAGACTTCAGGAGCTGTAGCCTGCTAAAGCCCAGAGATGTCCAAGGCAAATATTAGCCCTGGATTCTTTCATAGCTGGTAGCATCATCCTTGGGAAAGGATGCTGTAACTAAAGCACACACAGCTCAGTGTTCAAGATATCAACTGACTCACACATGAAAACAAGACATTTTGAGTCCAAAAAAGCAGATGTAGGTGAACAGAGTTGATGCTACTTATGTCCACAGAGGCACGTATCAACTTTTCCAGTGAATATTTTGATATCAGATGATATTTTTTTCATTATTACATAGGCTATAACCTATCACAAAGGCCATATTTTTTTTTCTAGAAGGGCTAAATGCTATTGAATGTGTTATTTAACACCAAATGGGCAAGTCATACTGGAAAATACAGACCTTTCTAAACGTCAGAAGTGCATAATCTTGGATGCCATAAAACTGGAAAAAAAAATCGTGCTTATTCACTCAAGGAAAACTATCAGCTCTTCTGGCTCCTTCCTGAACAAGGGAATACTGAGAAAACTACGGCACAGATCAATACTGGATGCCAGATGGGTTTTACAGGCAATCAAATTAGACACCGGTTGGTATAAGGRCAGAACAAAAAACACTTGCTGCATAAACAGTGATTAGGAAAGTATAGAAAGAGAAGATAAGAGGGATAAATGTTACCACTCCATCTCCACAAAGAAAGTATACACTAGCATAAGCCCACTGATAACTGCCCTAATTTGTGACAGCGAGGGCTGGTCTCATGGTTCAGAGCTGAGAAGAGATTAAACCATGGATAGGCTGTATATTGTGGAATAYTTAGAGCACATATTTAAATGCACAATCCTCTTCCTTCCAGCTGGCACCAAAATTATTCCAAAAATGAGAGCATCTTGTCGGATGCTGTTGGCACAAACAGCCAGATTGCCCCGTGCCCGTCAGCGCAGTGACCCCAGGAAGGGACTGCGTGTCCAGCAGCTTCTCTGCACCCCCAGGAGCACCAGCAGGGCTGAGACAGGGGTTACCCGTCCCCGCAACCTGCCTCCCCGCTGCTCCTGACCCGGCTGCGGTGCCGCCAGCGCTGCAAATTCGGCAGCTTCAGTCAGCAGAGGGCAGCCGCCCGGTGAGGAGCGCGGGGAGCTCGGGCTGCTCCCAGAAAAAGGCTCCGGAGGAACCGATCCTATCATCGCACCCCTGTTYTGTGGCATTTTCCTCGCCCCTCATCGCTGAGCACCCTCATCCCCTGCATCTGCAGTGCCATGATCACGCTGCTGATACACGCGATAAATAAGTCTTTTCATCAGCTACAGAACTTCTCTGTTATCTCAGTTGTTATTAAAACCTAAGCACCATAAAAGTGAGTTTATGGCTGACCAGAGATGCTAAACAGTGCTCACAGATGAGGGCATCTCCTGAAGTCTTCACAATTAATTATGTCTCCAGATGATACGTTATTATTGTCCCATTTGTAATGAATTAGCTCTGGGTTGCAGTAAACAGAATGGAGATAGCTTATTTAGAACAGGATGCCAAATGATTGCATGATATCTCCTTCGGTATAGATCTTTCCTCTTAAAAAAAAAAATAGACTGCAGGAAAAAAAAAAAAAAAAGGAATTTTAAAAACGGGCGTCTGAATTTAGAGAGACCTACTAGTTAACCACTTAACCCCTTCTTTCCCATTTTCTTTAAAGCAAAGGGGAAAAAAAAACGAAAATAAATCATCTATTCTAAAACACTTTGTTTAACTACTTACGTGTGGGTGACCACGAAAGCTGCCCACAAGCAAACCAGCCCGGGCGAAGCGGAGCGCTATCGCGACGCGATAGGGAACGAATCGCGCCGCGCCGCCCCGCTCCAGCGGCTCCTCTGCTCCATTTAAACCGCGCCGTAAACTCAATCCACCCTTTGACTCCGCACAAAGCCCCGCTCTGGCGCCCGGCGCAGGAAACCCCTCGAAAGCGGTTTGTTCAGAATCGCACGCGCTAACGGCATTAAAACTGTTTCGAGAACGCAACGAGTGACAGCTGCGAGGGTGAAAACGCTTTGCGGACACGTTTCCCGGCCGGCTGCGGCCACTGGCGCCTCTGGAGAGATGCTGGAGAGAAAAGCGCCTTATCCAGCGCGGACGCGGATCGGTTCCTCACAAGCAAGTCAAGGGATCCCCGATTCCAGGCTGGATGCGGTGGGAGGACCGCTGAGCCACTGGAAATCTCAGCGCGTACCATCACTCCTGAAACGAGGGAAGTTTCTCCGCGGTGCTGGCAGCCTCAGTGATTAACGTGGTGAGGGAGAAAATAAAGGCGAGAGAAGGAGCGAGAGAGGGGAACGAGCCTCAAGCCGAAGCGCRGCGCTGAGCCGGACTGCGCCTCGGCGCGGGGCGCAAAGCGAGGAAGGGCAAAGCGCGCCGTGCCCGCGGCGGCCACCACCACTTTGACAGCAATGTGGCAAACACATAGTCATATATTTAAAAGCATGCGGGACGCTGCGCACGGCCGAGGGGCGCAGCCCGCGCGGTGCCGGCGCCGCCGGGGGCTGTTTTCTCCCCCGGGGCTGAGCACCGCCGATGTCCCGGGGCAGCCGCGAGCGGCGCAGCGCCGC